AAATTAATATATTAAATTAAAAATTCTAAGTAGGCGCGTAGTTCAGGTAGTAAGAGAAAAAAGACGAAAACTGAAATGCAAAAGGCAATTTGCCCTACACTTCAAGTCAAGGGAGAGAGTGTAGAGGTCTGCAAGTAAATTCTAATCATTTTTTTTTTTTGTAATCTGTAATTTATAATTTTTGAAACGATTCTTTTTAAATATGTGTTTCTTTGGCATCGTAACGCGTTTCTTGACCATTGTCTTTGGTATACTGCTGCCGGCTCGCTACACCCACAATGCGCTTGGTAAGGACGAATTGATCGGCTGGGCCAAATATTGGATAGTCTACGCGTGCCTGGTGACCATCGAGCTAGTTGGCGATACATTCCTCCACTGGGTGCCACTGTATATGGAGTCGAAGCTATTGATTGTACTCTGGCTGGTTCTAACGGCGCCACAGGCCAGCGTCTGGGTCTTCGACTCGATTCTGAACCCATTGCTGAAGCGCTATATGCCACGCATCGATAACTTCATGCAGTACGGCAAACGCAATTTGATGGCCGATTTCATGAACTACGCTACGCAGATATGCGTCAAGTGTCTGGATACAATGTTGCCCGTGATCTCAAGACTATGGAAGAAGCAATTGAAGGCGGTTGCCCCAAGCATTCCGCAGGTGCTGGACTCGGCTACCGAGGCGAATAATCCACCGTTTCAAGACCGGGATGCGACTAACCATAGAAATGTCTTGTATGACTCCAGTTTGAACGAAGACGAGATGGATGACCCATTGCCGCTCTCATACTCAACTTCCATTGTGCCGAATCAAAGGAAATTATCGAAACTTTCGCTGCAGACAGAGCTGAATACGAAATTGAGCGATAAGCCAAATCGAGGTCACCGACGGCAGCAATACCTCCCGGAATTAACCAATGACGAATCGAACCAATATGAAGATCCGCTCCTGGGCATGGAGGACTTGCTGAAAAGCGAACGCCATGCCATTGAAATGCAAAATCGTACCATGACCGTGCGCAAGGACAATCGTCGTCGCATCTAGTTCAGAGTTTATCAGAACAAGCAAACAGCATTATGTATTTCTATAAATTCTTTGTTAAGCGATCATTCACTATTCGACGTAAGATCTGGCACGGGGGGTGTTCGGTCCATAAATATTTGTTTTGAATCTTATCTCCTTGTTTTAAATTAAAAAGTGGAAAATGAGGCAAGTCCTTTCGACTAAGATGGTTTAATAAAAAAATTTTGATTTCATAAAATGCCTAGAAAATGATTGAGTTAACTATGTAAATTATATTATATAATAAAAATTTGTTTTTCAACTAATCAAACGCAACATTAATAATTATATTAATTGTTTTGCATTCAATTCGATCGGAACTCTATAAAAGTACTTTCTTTTTAATGGTCATGGTATTATAAAACTTATATATTCACTGCTCTCTCGAGACTGCTCGGTTACGAGATCCCCTGAACCCTTCAAGGTACTGATATTTAAACGATTCTTCGCCGGATGGAATAGCCAGAAATTTATATAGAATTTCTAGTTCTTAAGAGAAATATAGAACAGAAGAAATGCCTGTCTATGCCATATAACATGTATAATTATTAATCTCTCTCTCTCTTTCTCTCTCTCTCTCTCCCTCTCTCTCTCTCTCTCTCTCTCTCTCTCTCTCTCTCTCTCTCTGTCTCTCTCTCTCTCTGCCTAAGAAAAGCAGCAGAGTGTGTTCCCATTGGTCACTTGAAGGTCGACTGCAACGGCCTCTACCTGACGGCAGGCTCAACATTTGAGCGCAACTTAGGTTGTGAGAGAAAGTCGTCCTATATAAGGGGCAGCAGCTACAGTATTTCTTCAGTCGCCCAGGCCTGGTGGGGGTCAATAGTGCAGTGAGGTAAAGTGAAGTGAAGAAGATTGGAGTGAAAGGAAGCTGAGCATTAAAGACTCAGAGGAAACACTTTTTAGAAATTCTTAAAGGAAACACTTTGAAGAAATAATAAGAGGAGACACTTAGAAGAAATAATTAGAGGAAATTTTTAGAGGAAATACTTAGAAGAATTTCTAAAGGTAAACCCTACAATAAATTCGTAGAGAAGAAATACATTGGAAAACTTATAAATGATATTAAGAATATATATATACTTTTAATACAATTTTTTTTATATACATATATATTTTAT